GATACGCGAGAGTCGCTCGTTGCCGTTGACCCATGAGTTTGTTGAAGACCTTGAAGAAATCGGACATGAAGCCCGGCTCGCGGTCGAGGCGAATGGCCTCACTGGCCCTGAACCGTCTGAAAACCGCCTCTTCATACGACTCAGCTACCGTCTGCGCAGTCCGCGACACACTTGCCTTTGTGATGACGAAACCCGTGAACAGGTCGACCCAGACTAACAGCTCCGTGTTTCCTTTGTGTGACGCGGGCAGTGACGGTATGTGGTCCATCGCGACCACTTGGAATGGATACGTCGCTACGATATTCCCAGGAGATTCGCCTTGGATTGTCGGTCTGCCTTTGCCAGTCTCGCAGTCGTCGCACTCTCCGACATGACGCTGTACGCTTTTGAACAGTCCCGGCCAGTGGAAATGCCGTCGTACGCGTTGGTACGTTCGACCTATACCTTGATGCCCGCCTTCCAGACTCGCGTGGTAGTGGTGTAGCACGTCTTGTCGGAGGGTCTCTGGCACGACCAGCTTCATGATCCAGTCCCGGTCTTCTGCCGATTCGTTTCCTCGTACATAGTAGTACAACAAGCCATTCTCTCCCACCTCGTACTGTTCTGCGATCTTCACACAGCTCTTCACCTCCTGTTTGGAAAGCTAGCTGATATCTCCGCTTAGGAACTTCTTGAGGTTCGCTATCCAGCGCTCTTCGTCCTGCGCCATACGGACCCGGCCCAGTCTCAGCCGTTGTACCGGTAGTTCCTTCAAGACTTCCGGCTGTCTCCGCGTGATTTGGCGGGACGCGTCGCGCGACCGGGTGGTCACAGGACAGACTCTCCCCGTCCCGCGTCTCTCGTTGTCGGGACCGCGCGTTTCAAGCTCAGCGACGGGGTCATCTGTACCGCGCGTTTCCCGCTCTGAGACGGGTAGCGTGGGTTGCAGCACTTCTCCCAACCGATTCAACGTCTTCAGATCCTCGATCCCTTCGACGCTATGGGCGTCTTTTCCTCCTTGTCGTTGGAGTGTCTGTCCGGCCAACATATCTGCACTAGCGTTCCAGTCTCGTCGGACATGTAGAAACTCGTGCCCGGGCCGTTCGCGCAGCGCGTTCCACGCTTGTTGTCTCAGCAGCTTCAGACCGGGAGATTTACAGTCCATCTCCCCTCGCATTTGGCGAACCACCAAGTTGGAATCGCCACATATGATTAGGCGTGTCTTCTAGGAGCGAGAGCCCGAGTAGCATACGGCTTCGTTCACTGTGAGACCTTCCGCGTATCCGGACGCGGCTTTTACCACGTCCCAATTCGGCAGCTGCCAGACTACTGCGCTGAATGCACCACCGCGTTTGACGCGGGCTGATCCGTCGAAGCTGATCACATGGAGGCTCTCGGTCGATCCGATTTTTGGGACCGGGATCGTAGCCGTCTTAGACGGGCCTTTTCGAGGCGGGATATCTTCCAATGTGGAATCTACATGGGCCCTCGGCGTGATGCTTGCAGCCAACGCTCCCAGAATCTCTTCCTCCCCTTTCGCCGACCGGAGGATTTCCAATCGCCAGGGAGAGAGGATGGCGGCCCATTGCGACAGACGACCTTGCAGTCCCTTAGACCGGAATAGCCAACCCAAGGTTGTGTGTCGGGTCAGCACGCGTATCGTCTTTCCCACCAGCATGTTGTGGCACTCGTTCAAGACACGCAACAACGCTAGGATCTCCTTCTCGGTGATGCTGTAGTTCAGCTCGTTGGGCTTCAACATCCGCCTAGCGAACTTGACAGGCATGTACACTCCGTCATGATCTTGAGTGAGGACGGCCGATACGGCCCAGTCACTCGCGTACACAATCACCACTGGTTGTCTATCCGC